TAGCAGTGCGGGGCGGTGTATTTGGAGCTACACGAAATTAAATAAACAATTTATGTTAAAAATTTTCCAATTTGTGTAGGCGGCTATTAATTGGAGATTTTGGTTTAATTAAAACAGGTTGACAACACTGATCTATGAAGGATGAATCAAAGGAAACAGATATCAGAGAACAGAAAAGGAAGGAAACAGATATGGCAAGAAAGGAAACAATTATCAGAGAACAGAAAACCACTCAATTCAAAGCACTATCTAAGGAATAACTAAGGCAACGGTCATATGCATAATTTTAGGCATGTATTTAGGATCTGAATATGTATTGTAAATTATATATACTGATTCCATTGTACATAAACTTTAAGTTGAATACAATACAGTGTTGCCTACAATTCCCTTGAATTCTTTACGGTATCAGAACTCAAATTTTGTCTTGAGAAGCCAGTTGTTAGCCCACTTGATAGGACTCAAAGTTGAAGGTACCGAGCTTACATTTAAGGGGGTGTGTTAACTTATCTGACAAGATCCAACATTCATAGTAGGCTTGCACATAAGAAGGCATGTTAAGCATCGAGTATAAAAATAAGAAATTTGTGGGTTAAATACAAAGAAAGCAACTCTACCTATAACCAATTGGTTTTAAGTTGGATGTAAGTTTTGTATTGAGCTCATATACACAATTTTCACATGGTCCAAAACATAAGACACAGTATGTAAAGCCTAAATCATGATCAATGTGTGTGGGCCATAGGGATCCCCTTTGGTATGAATGTGGGACAACTAGCATAGGCCCATTGAACCTTTCATGGGAAGGACATTTGAATTATTATATATATAAAAGACTAGGTCGCCCTTCATGCTACGTTATTCAATCCCTATCCAATTTTCCATTCAAAGCCGTGCTCGAGAGTAGTCAGTGAAGAGTGAAGATGAAGTACCAACAAATCCTTCACATGGTGATCTTACAAATTCCATGGTTTCCTCAATCATGTCATCAAGTGTACTTTCTATTCAATTCTATTATTTTGGTGTCTTAAATTTACATACGTGATCCTATCTTTTCCACAATTTATTCCAGGGAACCATGCTAAGATACTTCAAGTTGCAGGAGCTCCCACAGGTAAACTAATTCTAACTCGCAGGGAGCTACTATGTTCATCATCTACTGTAAGAACTGTCCCAAATCTCTCACTTACCCGTTGCCCAACATAATCAGAACGGAGGCCAATAGGTCGATCGTGAAAGTGAAATCAGAAAGGACTCGTGGTAAAATCATATTGCTCTGGGGATAACTCTTTGTCAACCTTTTCCAAGATTGTTACTAAAGATCTATTATAACTCTGGTGCTTTATGAAACACTTTAACCGAATCAAATTTGTTGGAGAAACGGAACATGTAAAGCTTACCACCTTATTTATAAAACACTTCTTTATTTTGGATTCGATCCATAAAAGGCTACTTTATTTTGGATTCGTGGAATTAATTTCTGGCACTATAATTTTATACTTTATTCCATCGAACAGTAAATTTTTTATTACTTTACCTTTTTAAGTTGAACTTGAATGAAAATGGATCCTTACTCTTGTCTTCCAAAATAACCTGAATAACAGCTCTGAGCTCAATTCATCAAACTATGACAGATCTTACAACTCCATTGTTGCCGCGTAACGAAGAAGAAGACCCAGAAACGCCAGGGCTTGAGGAACAACACTCTTCCTCTAGTCATGAGGTGATTGAGCTGAAAAGGCCAAGATTTGGATGGATTCTCTTCTTGCAAGTAATCCTTTTATCCATTGCAAGGATCTTCGAAGGTCAGCAAACCTTCATCAGTGTCTACACCGACGCCGAGCCGACGTGGCATTGCACCGATGAGAGTGCCTGTGATTCCATCTCCGACATCTGCCAGCTCCCTCCATCTGTATGGACCTGGGATGAGCCTTCTTACACCACCATCATTTCTGATTGGGAGATCCAATGCGCCAGTTCCTTCCTTACAGGATTACCGGCAACATCTTTCTTCATTGGTAACCTGTTCGGCGGAATCCTCCTTGCCTCACTCGCCGATTCGTTGGTCGGACGCAAGAATCTTCTTCTTATGTCATGCTTAAGCATGTCCGTGGCTTCAGTTTTAACCATATTTTCCCCCAATATCTGGGTCTACTCTGCTTTGAGATTCATATGTGGGTTTGGCCGTGCATCGATCGGAACATGCACCATCGTGTTATCAACGGAAATGGTTCAAGATCGTTTGCGAGGCCAGGTGGGTGTAATTATCCCGATCTTTTTTTCAATTGGGTATTTGTCCCTACCCGCCATAGCATATATGAACAGAGCTTCCTCCTGGAGAACTCTGTACCTCTGGACTTCAATTCCAGCAATACTCTACTGCCCAATTCTTCACTTCTTCGTCCCAGAATCCCCTCGATGGCTTTCGATCAGAGAAGCTCCCCAGAAAGGAACATCACCGGCCGCTGAGATGTACTCATCCGTTAAAATCTTGTTTCAGAGAAATTGGATTATTAAGCGTCTGATTTTAGTGATGCTACTCGGTTTCGGCGTCGGAATTACTTACTACGGTGTGCAAATGGGTGTGAGCAACTTAGGATTTAACACCCACCTAACCGTCACATTCAACGCTATATCAGAGATAATCTCATTCATCACTCTCGCCTCCTTAATCGGAAAACTGAAGCGGCGAACTTTAGTGCTCTCATTTTCCGTTGTGGGTGGAGTTTGCTGTATTTCTTGTGCTCTGGTGAAGTGGAATTGGGTCGAAATGGGGCTGGAAATGTTATCCTTGTTCTGCGGCTGTATGGCATTTGGATCGGTAGTGGTATACACAGTGGAATTGTTCCCAACATGTGTGAGGAACTTGACTACGTCGATGATGAGGCAAGCGGCCATACTGGCGGCGGTATCTTGTCCGGTGTTGGTATCGGCGGGAAGGAAAGAGAAGCTCCTGTCCTACGGAGTATTTGGTTCGGTGATGTTGTGTTGTGGGTTGTTTGTTTGTTGCTTGCCGGAGACAAAAAATTCGTCACTCTGTGATACGGTGGATGAACAGGAGCAGAGAGAAAATTCGATCAAGTAGCCAAAATACAAAGGTGTATTTGTCACTTTAGGTATTATATTTATGGATGTCTATGATGATTGTATTTGTATCAATGGTTATTTTCCCTTTTCGTTTTGATCAGATTAAGACCATTTATTAAGGGTAGTTTGGTAACAGAAAGGTGCAGTGTAATATTCACTAAACCTAAGAAAATTGGACCCAGAAGTTTGTGTGTTGCTGCAAAATGGCAGAAGGTGCAATTCAGCCCCCGTACCTGCAATATTGTGGCAGATCAGGCCCTGTACTAGAAACACTGGCAAATCAACCCCTCTACTACATGAAATCTGCTAATCACCCCTTCTGTTAAGGATGACGTCAGAAAATGTCATCTTTCCATTTGATTTTTGTGATCCGTTAACAAAAGATGATGATTGGACAATGACATGGCATTGCCTTAAAAAAAAACCACCTAACTTGGGAAAAATAATATTTTCAAGATTTTTTTTTTTACTCTTACATATTTAAACGTAGGGATTTTTTAAGACACAAGCCTCATTTATTATAGTATTTATAATTAATTTTACACAAAATTTTATACAAGATT